GGTATGCGCAAGGCACGGGTGAGATTTACTCACATTACTTCTGTCCGAAAACACACCGTAAATACTAAAGTTGTGTCCCAAAATGAAGTACTTACACTGTGCATTATGTACTCTACCGTCTAGTGTGTAGATTTTAGGAAGGTAATATAATCTCAAATAAAGCACATAGGGGGATTTTTTTTACTAACCGGAAGTATAAGCCACTTCCTAGTCGACGGCACATGACGTCATATGCATGCTAGCATTATCAGACACCCAGGGTCACCGACAATGACTTTCTTCAGTTTACTTTCTGTCAGTTACGTTTTAATCCCAACATGACCTCAGTCCTCACCAGACAGAGCCAAAATCCTTAAGTGACTGAGGAAGAAAGTGTGTAACCTCACAGTCCTCTAAGGCAGGAGGGCATTTTAAACATTTTAAACAGTGATGCACGAAGCGCAAACCTATGTTTATATCCAAAATGTTCCACTGTGTGCAAGGGGTCTGGGAGACTGGTGCAAGCTGCTTAAAAGGTTTATGTAATTTAAGCTTAAGCATTATATGCTGTATCTGCGCGCTTACAGTGTAACTTCTGTTGTTTATTATAACGGAAGTGATTTGTCCAGGGTGTAACCCCGCCTTGTGCCCGATGCTCCCTGGGATAGGCTCCAGGTTCCCAGTGACCCTGAAAAAGGAGTAAGCGGTAGAAGATGGATGGATGGATGATGTGTTAATAACGAGGCCACGCTCGTACACAGCGCGAGTAAGATCTGTAACGTCTAATTAAAGCACTACGATCAAAAGTAAACAAGTAAAATAATATGTCTAAAGACAGCGAGTAACAGAAACCATAAGGTGCACTGAAAGTGAGTTTCTATTATTAATTTAGGACTATAGTTTAATTCAGTGCTTTTTGTGCATCCATAAAAACAATACATTTCATATATATTATTTTTTTCATTTATTTTAGTTTATATTGTATATGAGTATTTATCTAAGTAGATGATGATGTCTATGGTCTCACTTCAGACTTAATACAGAAGACACATGCACCACAGCTACAGGAAGTCATCCTAGAATGTGCGAGTGAGTGAGTGAGTGTGTGTGTGTGTGCGCAGGAAATGCAGACTGGACTCCAGCAGTGGAACTGGGTGTCGATGCGTTTAACTTCAGCTCGAACAGGTTGTTGAGCCACCAGGCGCTCACAGGAAGTAGAAAACCGACCCGTTTTGAGGCTGAACCTGCTATAGTAATGCTGGGTGGTGTCTTCACTACTGAAACCATACCGTTATCACGCGCCAACAGAAAAATACATCCCGGCAAAAGCTCATGCACCTCCATCAGATCTGCTAATAACACTAATATGCACAGCGTGCTAAGGGTTAGCTACAAAGCTAATCAGGGCATCACACACACACAAAGGCGTAATATATCTAATATTCCAGGCTTTCAGATTCCATGTAACTTACCTCATCGCTGCCGCTCGTGCAGAAACCCGCGTCGCTCTGAAGCGCGAGCCGCTCATTGATCCTCAGTAGGCGCAGCAAACACGGGTCCTCGCGCAGAGTAACCTCAACGCTAACGGGCCTCGGCTCTCTCGGGCCGCCCAATGCTGCCGCCGCCGCTGCTTCCAGCCCCAGCCGGCCGACCCTCGTACGCCTCCACGTCTTCTGACGACCGCGACACGGCCACGGCCGCCCCGGAAAGCGACACCGTGCCGGGATAGACGGACTCGCGCCCGTGAAGACAACCGAGGCAGGCAATCCGCCTCCAGCTGCCGCCATTATTATCCCACGACAACAACAACGACGACAACGCTCCGCTTCGGGGAGGAACAAGATGGAAAGGCGCGCGATTGCGCGTGGTCGCAGTGCATCCTGGGAAATTTAGTTTTTTTTTTGTTGTTGTTGTTCTGCACCACCACCGTTCCTAATCGGAATTCCTAATTCATAATCGTATCAGTATAAACATATTGTCTCAACAGAACCAGAGGTTCGCACATAAATGAAGGCCCTTTGTGTTTTTTTCTTCTTCTTTTATTTTAAAAATTCCAAATGCAAAATGTTTCTGTTTATTTGAAACACTTTAATGAGCGGCACACTATACGGCCAAAAGTATGTGGACACTTACACCTTCACATTTGTGCCTATTTTAAAACCACGAGTTGGTAAACATGTACAATGTACATTTTAGTAAACAGTTAAGACCGCATAGGTTTATTTCTGATGAATATTACTCATTTGGCTTGAGTGAGTTCTTCCTTTGATTTATTTTTTATTAATTTTCATATGATTCATCTACATGTGATTCATTTACATGTGATTCATATTAATGAAATACTTTTATTAGACCCACGTGTAGCTAGACGTAATCTTTCTGATCACATGGTTAGGTTACTCTGGATGGTCTTTGTTTCATCATGTACAGCAGTTAAAGGCCTTGGAGTGATTATAGATTCCAGCCTATCATTTGATGCTCATGTAGATAATATTACTAGGATAGCCTTCTTTCATCTCAGAAATATGTCTAAGATAAGAAACATATTGTCACTACATGATGCGGAAATACTAGTTCATGCATTCGTCACCTCTAGATTAGATTACTGTAATGTCTTACTGTCTGGATGTTCCAGTAGGAATATAAATAAACTCCAGTTAGTCCAGAATGCAGCTGTTAGAGTCCTAAGTAGAACTAGAAGATACGACCATATCACACCAATATTATCAATACTGCATTGGCTCTCAGTGAAATCTCGCATTAACTTTAAAATACATGTATTAACCTATAAAGCACTAAACGGTCTCGCGCCACAATATCTAAGCGACCTTTTGGTTTTCTATGATCCGCCACGCCTACTTAGATCAAAAGATGCAGGTTATTTGAAGGCTACAGCAGGGGGAAGAGCTTTTGCCGAGCCCCGCACGAATTTATGGAGATACCTGAGATCCTTTCTGCCTCTGGATGGAGCTCAAATCTTCTCCAATTCCAGACTGCGGGGACTACACCTGCTCCTAAGGCCATACAGACTCCATATACATCCATAATGAACTTTTTCACACTATCTGTTGTTACCCAGATGAGGATGGGTTCCCTTCTGAGTCGGGTTCCTCTCAAGGTTTCTTCCTCTTAAAACATCTTAGGGAATTTTTCCTTGCCACCGTCGCCACTCAGTGGCTTGCTCAGTTAGGATAAATTTACACCTTTAAAATCTGTATACCATGTTGATATTTCTGTAAAGCTGCTTTGAGACAATGTTTATTGTAAAAAGCGCAATACAAATAAAACTGGATTGAATTGAATTAATGTGTTTCATTTACATGTGAATCACGTGTAAATGAATCACATGAATATGAATTACATGAATATGAATCACATGTAAATGAATCACGTGTAAATGAATCATATGAAAATAAATAAAAATAAATTAAAGGAAAAAATGAAGGTTCCCCGTGACCCAGTAGAATAAGCTGTATAGAAGATGGCTGGGTGACAAATTAATCGGTACATTTTATTCTGCTATGAGTCCCTGGTGGTCTAGTGGTTAGGATTCGGCGCTCTCACCGCCGCGGCCCGGGTTCGATTCCCGGTCAGGGAACTTAGCTTTTTAAATTAAGAGAGCAGATGGCGTGTAATTCATTCATATTAAGTCAAAGTTAAAGCTGTTATTCGAGCCGGATTTGAACCAGCGATTTAAAGCTTTCGTTCATCCATCCATCTTCTACCGCTTACTCTTTCTTCGCGTGGGAACCTGGAGCCTATCCCAGGGAGCATCGGGTGCCAGTGGCTTTCGTTCAGTGTATATATAAAATACTTTTATACAATACAGGACAAAGCCTTTTTCCCGCCATTTGAAAAGGATTTCTCATTTGACTGAATACAAACTTTGACATTTCATACTGATTCTATACAATTTTACACAGTTTCATCTTATTATACAACAGGAATGTGGGACTATTGAAATATGTATACATTTTGAAAAATGGATTAAAACTAAATTTCTTTGTTCAGTATGAATTTAGTGAACCACAAAGACTTTTTTCTTTTAACAATCTTTATTGAGCGCATCAATAATTTTTGTGACAATAAAATAACTTTATTAACAGAATTGGAATACATCCAGTTTCAGAGCTACATGAGAATATATCTAGAGGCAGTTACACTGTTTCACCACAAGAGTTCAGTAAAGTACCACGTGATCTTCATGCACTTGAACATCCTCTCTTATCTATTTGAAGGACACTGGTACTATTTTTTCTCCACTGGATAAAATCGTGGAGTTAATAAACAGTAATGCCAGAAACGAAAAACAAGTTTGGACACCATATGGTATTTTTTATAATATAATTTTACAATATGTTTTCTTATAATAAAGACAAACAAGGTTACAATATGAATAAACCAGAATAGGCAATAAAACCTCACGGTCTGGAATATTAAGAGATTAATTTACTGCTTTGATAGAAACTGGAGTATACCGAGCTTTACAGGAAGCACCATTAGAACTTGTTGTTAACGTTGTTTGCTTTTACATTAATTTGTTTCTACAGTTTGAAACTGATATTTTCACCAGCCTGAAAATTCACCTGCAGATTAAACACTATTAAACCACAGAGCAACTTATTTCATATTAAAGAACAACAGAATAAAAAATAGTGCTCTGACCATTAACACGTCATCTGTTTGATTTAGTTATTGGAAAACGATTGCACTGAGATACTATCTCTCTTTATCATAAAATGGCTTTTTCGGTTAAACAAGCTGGTGTAAAATGATTTTTCTATCCTTGTGTGTATATATAATTAAAAAAATAAAATAAAATAACTTTGTACAGTAATTCGCAGCAAAGTGTACATGTAAACATTTCTAGTCTACATATTAATAAGCAGTTGCTGGTTGCAGTAGTACCCTGTATATGGGCGCTCGCTGATGACGTAACAGGAGCAACATGAATAAATACATTTACTGGCCATAAAGGGCTCGCTTGCTAGCTCACTAAGCAATAATAAACTGTCTCAGCACCTTCGATAGCTCAGTTGGTAGAGCGGAGGACTGTAGCTGGTTAAATGGTTATCCTTAGGTCGCTGGTTCGAATCCGGCTCGAAGGACTTTTTTTTTTGTTACGACATGAACGAGTTGTACTTCATTATTTTAGTACAGTAGCAGAACAGCTTTATAATTTGGTTGGCTGGCACTCCATGTCATCTATACACTACTGACTGTCCACAAGATTAACATTAACCGTTTTGATGGGTATAATGGGAACTGTATTTTATGTAATGTAAATGTAAATGTAATTTTTCGCCTTCTATTGGTGGTATGTTATGTCTAGTGGGTGCCATTAAGTACAAATAATGGTATTGGTAATGGTTTGGATGGTCAGCGGGTGGTTTGTAATGGTATTTGTAGTGGAAACCATTACAATTTCTGTATGTTTTTATTTCGGGGTCAGCAGGGCTGTGAAGTGGAAAATGATAAAATAATCACTTTCAGAATGAAACGCTAAAGTGGTCCTCATACAGACACCGTTCTATTAATGACTGAACAACACAGATTAATAATCCAAGTGTGTTGATTGTGGAAACCCAATACATGCTGACAATCACCTCTTGAATCAATCACCTCTGACATGAATACTGATGCTTTATATATATATATATATATATATATATATATATATATATATATATATATATATATATATATATATATATATATATATATATATATATGTATACATATATATACATATATATACATATATACATATATATAATTTTTTTCAGATCATTCTTGCTCAGTACGTCTTCTCACCTGTAAAGTAACACACATTTTCATATATTTACATATATTCACATACACTATTTTTACTTGAAAAAAGAAGTGTGAGTTAATGCCGTACATTCATAAATAACTGAACTCAGTGCATGATATCTATACACAGTGGTCATGTGACTGTCAGCATTAATAGCTGTTATGATTAGGTAGCTCAGAAAATGTTGGCATGAGGCCCATTTATGTAACCTATGTAATAATTCTCTCAGACCTTGGTGTCCTGGTACAAGCAGAGTTAATGAATGGTAAACATGATAAATGTCATTTACCCCACTTTCCACGGTCTCATCGCTGCTGAACTGGATAAGACTAATGGCCTCCACGTGGCAGAGGGGTAACCCAGTGTGTGCAGTCCAGGGTCACTGGTTTGCTTACAAGTCAAAGTCTGTCACTATAAATAAGACTCTGTATAGTCTCTTGAGCTAGGATATATCTGAGAAGACATCCAATTCTGTCTGTCAATGCACATAGTCAAGCATGTATTCATCTGAGGAGCCTAAAAAGGAACGTTACTCTAGGAAACTCAAGGACGAGCGTTCCCACACCATCCTATTTCACATCCTCAACAGTAAAGACAGCTGTGCTGTGGCAGCAGATGATTGGAGTTCTCTGACCCACAACTGTCACTGTAAGCAACAAAGACTGGTTTGTCTGAGGAACCCAGAAAGGACCTGCCAGGCAGCTACAGAAGTGTTACTAAAAACCATGTGTTTCATGAAAAGCCTTCCTTCCTTTCACCACCTACCAGGTTCGGATCAATTTTTACTTCTTAGGAGCCACTGGGTGCCGCTCTTCCTACTGGGTCTTGCACAGGAGCGTATAACTTTTGAGGTGGCTGATTTCCCCATGACGAGCTTCCTTCACAAGATCTTGCTGCATGACCAAAACGCTGACAGTGAGCAGGAAACTGAGGATTTCCCACTGAACCTGGCAGCTGTGCATAATCTCAGATCATGCTTAGACAAGCTCTGGAGGCTTGAGCTCAATCCTGAAGAATATGCATACCTCAAGGGTACTATATTATTCAATCCAGGTGAAATACTAAAACACTAATATTCTGATATTCTAAACACTAATATTCTGTAAAGCTCTATTTTATTATTATTATTATTATTATTATTATTTTTACATTTCATAGTATAATTCCAAATATAGCTTAGCTCAATATTAGGAATTATTAGCAATAGAAATTTAATGTTTGTATAGTCAGTTGATGGCATGTGTTTAAGCACCAAATTATATTGAGTTACTGTATACGGAGGTAATGGAACTAAAATGACAAACCATTTGATGTTTTATTTGTTACTCTCGTCATTATGAATTCTTTAAGTGAAATATTTTACGTATGTTTTAAATATTGTCATATTTAATAATATTTTTAAATAAATGCTCATATTTCGTGAAGAACATTTAGATGTTTTTCAAAGTCATTTTCAAATATAAAAAGAAAAAGAAAAGAAAAGTGTAATCCAGACCCAAACAGTGGATCAATCACAGATTTAACCTTACAGCAGAATCATAAATAAGCTATGTTTCTACTTTAAAAAAAAATCTTTTTCAGACGTCCCTGAGCTGATAAACTGTAAGCTCATTGATGGGCTTCAGAGGGAGGCTCAGCAACTTCTACATCAAGTCATTCATAAAGTTCACCCAAATGACCACAGTCGATTGTCAAGTGTCCTGCTAACAGCTTCCTCACTACACACAGTAACCCAAAACTTTGTGACAGAACTGTTTTTCAAACGTGTGATTGGTCAGACAGACCTTCTAGAACTACTGAATGAAATTCTTTTCAGTACAGGACTTTTTTGACGAAGGAGTCCATCACATGGTACTGTATTTTGACTTGAACTCGAATGCAGTTTGAGTGATGTCCACTTCCTTCTTCACTAGTTTCATTCAAAGTGAGTTGAGTTACTTAATTTTGCTTTGCTTTCATTATATCGCAATCACGTGAAGGTTTCTTTTTCAACATTTCATACTGAAATTTTAAGAAATAATGTTTTTTGTATTAATTTTGTATTTTATTCTGGACTACTCCTGCATAAAACTTTCAGTACTCATCACGATGAGGAGTAGCCAAATTTCAGCTTCTCTTAACCATGTCATCTTACATGTGGATATAATGAGGTGGTTTATTACGACAGCAGTACAGGCTTGTATAATCTTATACTATCTTAAGTTGACGCCTTATTTGTCCGTTCTGTTTTCTACAAATCTTTGAATAAATATATTTTTTTTCACAATGTTGGTAATATTGATTTTGTCTTTGTTTAATCTCCACCTTGTGGTCACTTGTCATTATCTTATTCCACTTCATGCCACCATTATAACAATAAAACAAAATACAGTTCTCAGAAAAATACTTCTAAAAACTGACATGTAGAAACTTCAGTATACTCTGCTATCAGGTAAAGTGGATATAAAAAGTCTACACACCCCTGTTAAAATGGTAGGTTTTTGTGAGGTCAGAACGTTTCCCACCCTCAATGTGAAATTGCAATGTATAAAAATGAATTGAAAAACAATCAAAAACATTTCAGGGGAAAATCGAAAGAAGAAAAAACTTACAATAACCTGGATGTAGAAGTGTGCACACCCTTTAATAACTGGAGATGTGGCTGTGTTCAGAATTAACCAATTACATTCAGTCTCATGTTCAAAAGTAATTATCATACAGCTGTCATCAATGAAATTATTCTGATTAACCCCAAATAAAGATCAGCTGTTTCTGTAGTAGTTCTGAAGACATGGTCCACAAAGAGCTTACAAAGCATTCATGGTATCTCACTTGTTGAAAGATATCGATGAGGAGATGGGTATAAAAGATTTTTCAAAATTATTTTCCAAAATTACATTAGATGTACCATGGAACACTGTAAAGACCATCATCAACAAATAGAGAAAATGGAGCACCACAGACATCACCAATAACAGGACATACCTCCTAAATTTACAAAAGGAGAAGATAAAACTTACAAGGGAGGCTGCAAGAGACCTACAGCAACATGAGCTACAGGGACATCTAACAGGTACTGATTACTCTCTGCATGTGACAACCTCTTGTATTCTTCACGTCTGGTCTATGGGGTTGGGGGCTAGATGGAAGCCCTTCCTCGCAACTAAATCACCTCAAACCATGTGGCAAAATGTGCTATGATCCCATGAGAACAATTCCAAAAGGTATTATCGTGCCATCATTCCAGAAGAACACCATACCTACAGTGAATACCCACCATAACCATGGTGGTGGCAGAATCATGCTTAGGGCTGCTTTTCTTCAGCCAGAACTGGGGCTTACATCAAGGTGGAAGGAATTATGAATAGCTACAAATACCTGTTGATTTTAGTTCAAAACCTTAATTTGTCTGCTAGTAAGTTTAAGATGAAAAGGAATTTCACCTTTCAGCACGTTAATGACCCAAAGCACACATCCAAATCGACAAAGGAACGGCTTAACCAAAAGAAGATAAATGATTTTGAATGACCTAACCAGAACAAAGACCTGAATCCAACCAAAAGTCTGTGGAGTGACCTGAAGCGAGCTGTGCACAGAAGATGCCCTCACAATCCGATGGATCTAGAATGTTATTTTTTTTTAAAAGAGTGGGAAAATATTGCCAAGTCAAGATATGCCATGCAGATAGATTCTTCCACAAAAAGACTGAGTGGTGTAATAAAATCAAAAGGTGCTTCAACGAAGTTTTACTTTTAGGGTGTGCACACTTATGCAACTAGAGTATTGTAAGTGTTTTATTTTCCCCGATAAAATCTTTGATTGTTTTTCCATTAAATTTTTATACATTGTAATTTCACATTAAGGGTGGAAAATGTTGACATGGTTTATCTTGGTTTAATGTTTTGTTTTTTTTTTCATCACAAAAACCTGCCATTTTAACAGGGGTGTGTAGACTTTCTATATCCACTGTATGACTGTTTCTTGCCATGCAGCATTATTTGGGGGAAAAGCTCTAAAATGAAGTGGAAATTGCTTTAGACGCTTATATATTGACTGAACAGTGAATGTCCCAATGCACTTTCGGGTATTACCTGTTAAATGCATTTATTTTCCCATCACTCTAACTTGTCAGACCAGTTGTGTTTGTATACTGTATATGTGCCACTGTTAGAAACTTTGCAGTCAACCATGTTATTTATCTTCCTGACTGATCTGAGTTTTAGTTTATCACATGGCTATAGTTTATCCCCTTCTAGCTGTGTCATTTATTTGTCTCCTTGCATTCACAATCATGTACTGCAAACTAATAAGGAG